GTGAAAATGTCAAGGACTCTTCCTCTGGGCTTCTCTCCTCTCTAGTGTACTTCCTCAATTGTAGCTCACTCTCTCACTCTTTGGACCAACTCTGATACCAAAATGGCATAGAAACTACTCTTTGAACAAAGTTCTTTACTTATTCTCCAATTTGATGTCTTAAAAAGGAAATGACATGGCTATTTATACAAAACCTTATAACCCAAAGACTTAAATGCTGAAGAAGGAGTTTCAGCTATTACATGAGCTATTACATGTGTTTATAAGTCTAGGAAGGTTATGGAGAGAATTATGGGCATTTAAGGTTATCAATGGAGGAGTTACATGGGTTACATTTAGGTGAGTTATGTTCAGGCTTTTGTTTCACGTTATGTGCATTTAAAAATCTAAACATATAACAACCATCTTATTCTTTAAATCTCTTTCCCAACAACTTTCCAATCATCAACATTTAAATTTACTATATTTCCAAAATTCATTCTTTACCAAAATTATATTTAAATATAATAATAAATCTAAATCCCTGATCACACATCACAACAAGCAGACTAGAAATGAGGGGCCAAAAATGCTACATACAGACTTAACGAGGATGAATTAAGGATAAGAGTTTTGGAGCATACCCCTATACCAAACTATGCCAAATTAAAGGAAAAAGAACAAATTAAAGAAGCAAGTTCTCATATCCACACAAGACAGAGGCGATGCAACAGGGAAGAAAGAAATCACAAGCTAAGCGGCGACTGTAATAGCAAATGGATGGCAATTAGAAGAAAGAATAATTAAAGCAATGTCACTCACACCAACCCAAAAGTAACACAGAACTAAGAAGGAAGAAGAAGACTATTGCCAATGCTAGACTAAACTGAGAAAGAAGATTCTGACAACTTCAACATCCATCGTGATAGCAAGGAAAAAAAATCACTCACTCTTATAAGCCGATGACATATGGAAGAAATATTGAAAGAGAAAGAGTGAAGCAATGAAGACTCTCGAACTCTCACACCATTGCTATTGACGGTGATGAAAAGGGAGTACGTAGAAGAAGAATGTATTATTATACTCCCTCCATTCAAAAATGTAAGGCATTTTTAATTAAATTTCACCCCTAATAAAGTAGTTATCTACTTTTAAACTAACCTTATCTTTCCATATTCACCCCTATTAAACACCCTATAATAAATATAAAGTCATTAATTAGTAGGGATACTTTTAGAAAAAAGCAATGATTATACCTCAAAAATTAAAAATGCCTTACATTTTTAAACATCCAACTCCTCAAAAAATGCCTTATATTTTTAAATGGAGGGAGTAATATATATTCGGTGGGACATTTTGGAAATTTTATTTTTCTTAAATATATATATATATATATATATTTCTCCCTCCTAAACTCAATGTGATCTAAATTGATAAACTAAATTTCCTATAACATATATTTTAAATTTTATCAAAATATCATAAATATATGGTATTATTAATTTTCATATTATAATTAATTTAAGGGTCAATACATATATATTATATATATACATTTATGAATTTCAATAATATTATGGCCAAATACTAACAAGAATGATTGATTATTTTATTTTAATTTTTTTCCAAATTGCACCAACTTTTCTTTTAATGCTAAAATAAAAATAAATAAAAAAATTATTTATCACATATATTTTTTTTAAATCCTAGATTTGCCATTCATCACATAACCATAGAGAAAATGGAAAAGAATAAATATGTTAATTTGTTAAAAAATAAAAATTTTAGACAAGTCCTTAAGGACTACACAATAATTATTACATTTCGTGATATTTAATTTTCATTTTGGATACTTTAGGGTATTTTTTTATTGTCCCTGTCAATTATCTATTTGTTTCCTTTTTAAATTATCATTTGAAAATATGTGTATTTCAGTCCTTATTTATGATTTGCAAATATGTATATCATTCTATTTTATTGAAACTTAATCTTATCTTCCCTCTAACCTTAACCTGCACATTTGTTTTAACTGTGGTTTCCATTATGTAATATTCGAGAAAATTAACCATGATTAGTCAATCCAATAATTTTGATTAATGAGTTAATAAGATGTGTGGCCAAAGGGGTCTAATTTGGTGTAATTGTTATGATTTTAGCCTTAGAAGTAGTTCAAGATTAATGGTGGGCCACTTAAGTAAGGAAAGAGAAAGAAAAAGTGAAAATTTGTCCTTTGTGCCACATGACGCGGCATGTGTTAGTCTACCATGGTGCACAGAGGCATATTTGAATGCTATGGACTCTTCTGTGCCATACGCTATAGCGGAGGGTAGCGTACGCCATGGCGCACAGCTAAAATTTTCGATAAATCAATTCCTGTTTTGTGTAAAAACATAAGAGAAGAAGAAGAAGAAGAAACTACAGAGCTCTGCTTTTGCTCTGTTAGGGACGTTGTGGGATCATATTGAGGCTAGATTGCTCCCAAACACCTAAGGTAAGTAATATAAGCCTTATTCTTCCTTTCTCTTCCTTATTTATGATGATTCATAGTAGGGTTTAAATTGAAAGGTTGAAATTCAGTCTATAAGGGTATGGGTCCAATTTCATTAATTAAAATAAGTATAGTGAGTTATTTAAGGCATTGAAACACTACATTGATGGAATTATCAAGAGTTTGTTGGGTTGATTCGAGGCTGTCCCACTTGTTCTATGAGGGACTCAAACCTAACTAGTCTCCATCGGTTCATGAGGAAGCTAGATTAGGGGTATGACACCCCATGGTTATTAGTATTGGGGGAAATCAAATTACATAAGTGAGTAAGTTCATATTGACCCAGTAGCTCCTCACAAGTGGAAGGCTAGGTTAGTCCATGAAGGATGTAGCCATGTGATAGCTATCAGTTTTATGTCAGAGGTAACAGGAGGGTATGAGGTTGGCATATGATCATGCATATAAGACCGACCACATAGTTGTTAGTTTTGTGGTCCGACATGTCTTAGGAGCGCATGGTTGTTATTATTGCAACCACGTGTTGTGCTTTATGAACCATCATGATATTGTGTGCTATGGGCCCAGTTACATGGTTGTTAGTTTTATGAAATGTGGCCAAGTATTTATATGTGATATTTGTGTAATTGCCTAATTGCATCTATTTACAATTAATATGTAACTATATAGGTTAGGTGAAATTTGGTTACTAAGTGGTTGTACTCACCTCTCAATTCTCAATATTTTCAGGACATAGCTTATCGAATTTGAGTCGGGAAAAACACACAAAGGCCTAGGATTGTGGACTAATCTTCTTTATGCCTCTTTTTGTTACTTTCATGTGTATTTCTTAATGTAATTTCCAACTAGAATCATTTAATATGATTTATGTACTACTTACATGATTTTGTGTATAACTTATGTATTTTGTGCCCTAGGTTAGTGAGTTTTGGTGGTAAACCCGTGGATAGGGTCAAAATACTTGTGCAAGTAGAAACATATGTATTTTGAAAGAATTAGGATGAAATTGATGTATCTGTGCAACTTTTGCTCCCCTTTGTGTTTTGAAAAAATCAAAGTTGAGTGGTGGTTTTATAATAAACATGTTTCTAATTGTGTGTGGTGTATTGCACGAGTCCATTAGAGTCTGTTGAGTGTAATTAAATAGTTTGGCTATTGACACATGTGGTTGAGTTAGGACACCCCATTTATGAAATTTTGTGAAAAGTGGTCAAAATGAATTTTGGTGTCTAACTTTTTATAGAAAAAGAATTTGAGTGTGAAATCAATGCCATTAGCTAGATTTAGGTGAAAGCTTTGTATGGACACCAAAATCACCTCAATCTGACGTCGGATGGAAAATTGGGATACATCGGAAGTTTGCTCCCTGTGTTGTCAAATGACAGCATTAATGCTGTCAAATTCATGTAATGTACCACAGCACAAGAAACAGAGAATACAAGCCACGATACACGTGTCATTTTCTCCACAAAATCTATTTTTGAGTCTTAAAACTATAATTTGAGCTTATTAGACAATGTTCGAGATTCGAATTGTTGAATTTTGGTTTCCTTTCAAAAAGGATTTGAGAAATTCCCCTTTTTATGGAATTCTACAATTTGGTAATCCTTTAAGGGTTAATCCCTTGGTTGTCATGATTTGTAGTTAAATGTAGATTAGTAAGGAAGACCTTACAAATTGTCCTATTCAATGTATATTTGATTTTGTTGAGTGGCCTAAGTCTACACATTAATTTAATGAGTGTATATTAAATTTCATCAATACATGAAAAATATCAAGATACATTTTCTTCTAAACATTCAAAACAATCCTGATAATAAAAAACTACTCCTCACATATGTTATTCCTTTCAAAAAATTGAGATTTGGTACCTTTTTAGTATTATATAACAATATCTTTTACAATCATACAGCCATTAGATTAAATTAAATAATTGTTATCATGCCACGTAATACTCTTATTCAATGAGTGGATTTAAGGTTCAAATTTGGGACTTGAACTTAAACACCCAACAATAGATATCACTGAGCCACCATTCCTTCTTGTTATATCTACTACAAAAAATAATAAAAATAGGATCAAAATACTTAATTTTCAATTTTAATTTTACTTAAAATTTTGGACCATTAAGTAGGGGTTTAGGATTTTTGTTTGGGCATCTAAGTTGAGGCAGGATTTGATTTGTGCAGTAGCAACAATGGGGGGAGGAGACGACTCCAATCCTACAGATGGAAACGTGCAAGTTAGATGGTGAATCTAGAGATTCAATGCTTCTTCTTGTTAATCCCATTCTAGTATCTCTACATGGTAACTTGTTAATAGCCAAATACTTTGTTGGTTATAATGGGGCAAGACTTGTGAACGTTACAAGGATAATTAGGTGTTTCCCCCCAAAATCCTATTTTCTGATATCTTTCAGGGGGCGTAGTGATATGTCAGATTTTTATGGTTCTTTTTTTTTATATCAAAACATTATAGGGGTCTTTAGATAATATTTTCCCAATAAAATATAACATGAGACTCAAATAAGAAATTTATTGTTAAAGATAAAAACTACACCCCACAAAGAGAAAATAACAATAAAATAAATTGACAGCTTGGTTTCACTCTATTTGCCACTCAAATTTTTCCATTGAAGTGCTAAACTAGTGAGCGTCCTTGTGAACGAACCATCTTTTCCTAGTGCTTTAACAGCATCATTCTTAAACACTTGAATTCTTCTATTAATCTCCTTGCCTTCATCACCTTCCATGACACTCTTTACAATTCTAGAAACTTCCTCTTTCTCCACAATCCCATTATTATTTTCATTCTCTTTTGGCCTTGCAGCAATCTTCAACTCCTCAGTTAGCATCACTGCGTTCATTCTTTGTTCTGCAAACAGTGGCCACACGATCATTGGCTTTCCATAGAACACACTTTCAAGTGTGGAGTTCCAACCAGAGTGTGTCAAGAACCCACCAGTGGACTTGTGTTTCAGGACTTCAATTTGTGGGGCCCATGATGGGACCACAAGACCTCGATCTTTGGTCCTCTCATGGAACCCTTCTGGCAAGTAATCAAGTGGGTCCTCCTTTTGTGCGCACAAATAAGCGGAACTAGAAAACTCATTTGGAGCCCTCGTGGCCCACAAGAATTTGTGGTTACTCATCTCTAACCCTAAGGCTAGCTCATTAAGCTGTTCTTGTGACAGTGTTCCACCACTCCCAAAAGAAACATATAGAACAGAGTTTGGTGGTTGATTGTCTAACCATTTTAAACACTGTGAAGCTGGCTTGTTCATGCTAGCTGATTCACTTTGTAAAATGGGTCCCAATGGATAAATTGGAGGGTATTTATGATTGCTTTCTTGCAGAGCCGTTATCACCTTTCTTTCCAAATCGATGAAGCTGTTCAATATGATACCATCTGCGAAGTCCAATCCTTTACTGATGTGAAGTATTGTTCTGTAGGATTCACTCGCTCTTTCTTGAACCGTGTCAAAGAGATCCGTGCCTTGAAGAGCTGCACAACCTGTGTAAAAAGGAAAAAAATATCCAAAGTTAATATATGGGGTCTGTTATGTTTTCTTAAATTATCATATTAGTTCTCTAAGTTTTAAAAACACAAATTGACTTTGAATTATAATTTAATGTATGAAGTTTATTATTCACATGACATGTATATATAGCTAAATGAGAAAAAATTAACACTCAAATTAGTTTAATTATTTATCAACATAATCCCCCATGCGTGTTTTGTTGTATATCTTGTTTTTTGAAAGAAATTCAGAATCTATTTTTTTACATGAATAATTATATTTTTTTCATTAATCTATATATGACTGCTATTCATATTATCAATTTTTAACAGTGTAACTTACTTTTTAATCAATGAGGACCGAATTGATCATCGAAGTAAACATATGGGACTAAAATTATAAAAATTAAAATTGAGTGGCCAAATTAATAATTGAGATAAACTTGAAGAATTAAAAGTTGTATTATCTCTACATATTTATAGTTATCAATTAATATTTGCTCTAACTTGTCTTATTATATATTCTCACTTGCATGCATGACAAAAAGTACTAGAGATAGTCAAAGGGGCCAACATAACAATAAAAATATAACTTGGAACCTGGAAGTTTCACGGGCTGTTTTAGCTCTCGAAACTCAGTAGAAACGATCTCAAGATCCTTGTCAAGTTTGGGAAAACTGAGGTAGAAGCTCAGTGAAGCACCTGATGAAGCACAATAAGCGTATGTCTTGAGGTTGAATTGCTTCGCAAGTTCTAATGCATCTACTGAGAACACATCAGCAATCATGGCAACTAGTTGAGTTCGAGAACTCAGTGAGACTAAAGCTTGACGAAGTGAAGGAAGAGAGTATGTCACAGTGAGATGCATGTGTGTTGCCGGATGAACGGCTTTGGGAGGCATGTCGTTTTGGTTGACTTGTGGAAGAACAGTGAAGTCTATTTGTGGTGGGAGAGTCTGAAGGATGGAAAGCGTAGTTGAGGAGGGAGGGCCAAATGTGGGAATGAGAAAAGTGACGTGGAAGAGAGGGTGGTAAACGACGAGCTGTTTTGCCAACTCAATGAGTGGAATGAGATGGCTGAAACCTGGACATGGAACCATGACGATACACGGATTTCCTTTCTCCATGGAAGATGATAGTCTAGTAGTTTCGGAGAACAGGAACGAATGAGTCGGTTTTAGAAGAAACAAAACAGGGGAGAGAAATGTGTTAACCACATACTCCCTCCTATCTAAAATATAAATAGTTTTAGAGAAAAATTCACATATTATTAAACTTCTCATTTTCAAAGATATAAACATATATACTATTTTTTCTTTTTATCAATAGTTTCAATCATCAATGTTTTTCATAATGAGTGAAAGATAAATTCACACAAGAATTTGGATTAATAAATATAAGGGGGTAAAATTGAGAGAAAATTTTTTTATTTGTAATCAGTTGCTCATATTTTAAACCAAGATTAGTTAGGGAACATACTTATATTTTAGACTAGGGAGAGTATATTTTTAATAATAAAAAGTTTAGTAATGAGTTGGATTCGAATGGCTTACTAGTAGAGCTGTCAATTAAAGCCAGCCCGACCCTAAAGGGCTGGCCTTTCAAGGGCTAGGGCCTAAACGGGTTGGCCCTAATAAGTTCGATTATATGTCAGGGTTCCCTTTTACAAGACCTGGCTCTAGCCTTCAAGGCTAAAGAGCCGGCCCTCAAGACCTCGGCCCTCTTTTTTTAAAATTTTTTCAATTTAAAATTATAAAAAGTATATTTATAATCATAAAAAAGTTATTACACATAAAATTTTTATTATACATAAAATTAAATTTAAGAAAATAAAATTTAAATCAATTTACACCACAACAATAAAGAAAACTTAAATATTTAGGTCTAATATCAAATAGTAATATCAAAGTTAATACCAATAAAAATTAAACTTAGATATCATTATCAGTTAAATCTTAATAAATGAATAAGGGATGGATGAATATGTTTAATATGTTCATTTCTTTGAGTCATATATTTAATCTTTTATTTTTTTTATATTACAATTTTTTTAAAAAATAATAAAAGGGGTTAAACGGGTCAACCCTTTTAAACTCGAATTATCATTTTTTCTTCCAAAATAACGGCCTAGCCCTAATTATTTTTGAGTTTAAAAGAGCTGACCTGACGAGTTCAACCTTAATTGACAATTCTATTTATTGAAACCAAAACATGCTTTCAAATTTATAAAGCACTTATAAATATACTTATAAATTAATTACTAATAAAGCCCTCACATTGATAATAGGATTTGATTTCATGACTTTTGTAAATTAAGGTACAATCTTTATTAACTAAACAAGCCTTTGTTAGTTGTTAAACATGTATTTTAAAGGATTATAAAATAGAAATGGTTATTTGACGTGATTCCTCCATCGATTCGGGTGACGCAACGTTGATTCCTCTGTCAACTTTTAGCTGAAATATATGGATTTAAGAGCTTTGTCTTTTATGTTATCAGATTAACACATGCTTAAGTAATTGCTGTCGGCAACAACGAATGTAATTTAATTATGTGATCATAGTAATTATTTATTTTTTTCCCTTTAAATTTTGTCTTTTTTTAAAACTAAAGAAAAATATTTGAATTGAAAGCTAATCTTCTGTCTAACCTTAATCTGCCTTCTCGTTGTCCTATTCGAAGTGCCAGAGAAGAGCATCTAGTCTATGAGAATCTGAGACTTATTATTATTACTATTATTATTATTATTATTATAAAAATCTGAGACTCTATTGTAGTACGTAAAATAATCAATTATGTTGCTTTGCAATAATAACATAAAAGATTTTCACAGTAATGGAAACTAGGTGCAAAAGGGTGCACGGAGCCCTAGAATATTAATTTTTTATATAGAGGTCGGGCAACAACCATAATACAAAAGAACGATACATGAGCATATAAGAATAACGGAAGATTAAATTACAATAATAGACACAAAATATCTACAGAGACTTTGATGGGGTCGTGAGGACTAATAAGACAAGAACAGAACCCTTCACCCTTTGGGCTTCAATAACAACTTATCAGGCCCAGCGGATGTTGTCTTGACATGCCCCCAAAGGAAAGGCTGGGGCCATCACTAGCCCAAGTTTGTCTGCGTGAGGATATGAGAATGGGTCATGGCTTTGGTGAAGAAGTTGGAAATGTTCTCTGAAGACAAAACATAGCGAGCATCCAGCACCTTATGTCAGACCCTGGTACTAACGGTTTGATTGGCACAAAATATGAGATAATTTTATATTTTATAAGCCTTAATTATCCAAATATTAAGCTATATTTATATTTTATAAGCCTTAATTATCCAAATATTAAGCTATAATAGTGATAGATAAATTACATTGATAAAAATTCTATGCAATATATATATATATAATTATAAAGTTCGTAAAGTCTTAAATATTTTATAGAAATTTTAACAAAGTTTCCCTTGTAATTATGACATTTAGAAATTTTTATACTCAATAAACTTGTTAGTCAATCTAGAAAAGGAGCATAACTTCACACCGGCAAATTACATGATAACAAAATAAGACCAGAACCTAGCTATAGTATACGTTGAGCAATAACTACCATTGTATAATATAATGAATATTTACATCAAAATAAATGATTAAAGTATGTTTTCACTATCCAAAAAGCAATAGAGCCCCTCAATGATTATTAGGAGGCACAGGGTCAATTACATTATCTAAAATCAAAGAAATTCCTTTAGTAAGTAGCATCCCAAACAAAATTATAGATAAAACATATAAAAATAGTAATTAAGAAATTTAGTTTAAAGGAAATCAATGGAATATTAAAACACATATTTTGACTAACAATAAAAGACAAAGTTACTTGACAATATAACTATAAAATAAACCGATAATATTAGAACTTTTTAGGTTATCAAGAATCATACAACTCATAAATATAAATATAAATATATAAAAGGAATTCAAATAATGATATAATCATAAAAAAATGTTTGTAAAGAACTAATGTAAAATGATAAAATTTTAAATCTAATCTATGAGGGCTTTGTTAGAATAATTTAACAAGTGTAGCTCATGGCTATGAGAACAAGTGAAGGCACGAGACACATGAAAAAAAATGTAGGCACGAAGCCTATGAAAACAAATGTGAATATGATGCTTACAAATAACTATCCCTCCATTTCACATGTGTTGACCCTCACATAGGGCTAGCATGTGACATCTTCAATTTTAAATATTGAATTTTAAAGCATTAACAAAGGATAAATTGGTAAAATTAAGTTATTAATGAATTGATGATGCTTTCGAACTACTAAGGTTATTGGATTATTAAACAGCCTTGAAATTGGGCTACATTAGAGTACAAGTGGATCGGGCAGCAAGTAAGGCCTAAAATCCATTATGAGCCTCACTTTGCCATTCGCCATGGCAGATGCTCCATATGCCACGACGAATGTGTGAAAATTTGATTTAATCTGATCGTGCCCATGTGCTAAACAAAGGGAGAAATAGAAGAGGAACATGAAGGGTAACAAAGAGGGACACTTGCTTTGCTAGGGTTTCATCATTTAGATGTTTTAAGGGCAATATAAGCTAGACACACAATTGGTTAAGCTTCTTTTTCCCTCTCATTCCTTTCTATACAAAATTTATATGGGTTTGAGAAGTATTGGGTGTTGATTTGTTTTCTCTTGAGTTGTAACTAAACCCACTATGTTCTTTGATTTCTTGGGGAGTTAAATCAAGTTTTCAAACCTAGGTTTAAAGTTGTTATAGTGATTTGGAGTTTTAAGCTAAGATTTGGGCCAACCCTAAGTGGAAATCTAAAGATTAGGAATAATGTAGGTGGAACTTTGATATTATCAAAGTGTTTAGATGTTAAATAGAATTAATGGAGTGTGTTGAAATTATTAATTTTACTAAAGAGGAAATTTAGGTATTGTCGGTAGCCAAAATTACACTAAATAGGGGTTCAACTAGAGTTACGAATTGAAGATTAGTAATTAATCTTACAGATTAAATATTAATTGAGCCCTATTGAGCTAGTAGACTCTTGTGGAGTAACCAAATAGCCACAATAACCCTTTTTGTGATAAAAGGGTTGAAGTAACTAGATAATCTAATCTTTTTACTTGTGTATTTGAGTGGTTATGATTTTGATGAAAGAGTATGTGGCCGATGTCTAGAAAACCATACCCTGATTGGATTGACCAAGTTCATCAATTTCAAGGTATAAGGTGCCTTAGTTTGTTCTCTTTTTTGATGAGGAGAAGAAGTAGACTATTGAGTATATAGCTCGGTTCTCGGTCTAGTATAGGGAAGCTAGGTCTAAGGACTACCTCAAGTTGAGGCTCTTTTCCAATTCTCTTACTAAATCAACCTTCTCCTGGTATATGAACATCCCCCAAACTCTATTAACAGTTGGTAGGATCTAGAAAGCAAGTTCCATAAGCAATTCTGTAAGATAGAACCTAACATTACAGTGGTTGATTTGGCAAGACTTAGTCAGCTCCAAGGTGAGTCAATCGAAAAGTACATCGTGAGGTTTAGGAAGTTGAGGACTAGATCTCAGACCTCCTTGACCAAAAAGGAGTATGTTAGTTTAGCTTTGAAAGGTTTGAACTTCAATATGAGAGAGAAGTTTGAAGGGTAAGAATTCACTGATATGTTTTGTGCATGTAATTTACTGTGAAAACTAGTAACTTATTGTATGAGTATTGGAGTTTAGAAACTTGTGTGAAGTGTTTTTAAAATTATAATTATAATCCTATGTTTAAAGTTTTTTACTCTTTTATAGAAAATTGTGATATTAGATACAAGTTCAAAATGTTAGTACATGTTGTATGTTCACCTATAATGACTTGATTGTGTATGAGTGAGACTGTATGAGCATTATCTTTGTGAGATAGTGGGAGTTCATACTAGGGTTGTTAGGGAATATTGTATAAAATCTACATGGTGTACTAGTACTACAGAGGCCCCGGTGCATAGTCTTTATTGTTTGAGAGTCCTATTACTATCTTGGAGATAGATTGGGTATATGACACTTTGGATATTCGAGAATGGGGAAGTTTGTGGTGAAGGCATCTTTGGCCAAGCTACCAGTCTAGTCACATGGACTTAGTCCTATTGTGTTATTAGCCCATACATTTAGTTTGAGGAAATAAGGAGGATATAAG